TGTGCAAAGAATTTTCAGAGGTTTTTACGTGGAAAATACCCTCTAACATTTAGGGGTATTTTCCATGCAAAAATAAAAAATTCTATAAACATAACCTGAAATTAAATAAATTTAAAAAATTTTCCTCTAGAAAAATAAAATTAAAAAAAATATATTTTTAAAAATACGTATAAATATAAATTTATTTTTACTCTGGAATATATCAAATGTTAAATTTAAAAATAAAAATAATTTTATTGATAAAAATCTACAATTTTGATATAAACTTTCTTCCTTTTTTTTAAATAACGAATATATTAATTTAAAAATAGTTTTTTTTTAATGATAAGATATCCTTTATCATTTGAAAAAATGATAAAATATTATTACGAGATTAAAAAAAAAGTAATATTTCCTTGTACAAAATGAATGATATGTATCTTTATTAACTATCTTCGAATGTTTTTATAATTTTTGACGTATAGATTAATATATAAAGCGTATAATATATGTCTGTATGTCTGTGTTTGCGCCAAGTCATACGTCAAGAAAGTTTATAAATTGTTATACAATAGAACAAAAAAAGAAAGTTATGGCACCACGTATTAAAAATGTCGTTCGATAAATTATATATATATTTAAATTTTAATTACATTTAAATTGTATACGTGTTTACATTAATGATACGTGGCTCAGTGTGTACACAGAGAAAAAAAGGAGGGTTGAGAAGAGTGAGTGTAGGTGAGAGATAAATAAAAATTGAAAAATGATTTCTACAAATTGTTTTGTATTAGTTGTAAGCTGTCACTTTAAAAAAAAGGGTCAAAATTTTTGATTGACTCTATAAAGAGATCGATGACCTTTTGTTTGATAAATATATATATATATATTTAGTATACTGTACTTCATTTATCTCTTCATTCAAGTCTCTATTCTATTTACATAGATTAATGGGAATTTTTTTTATACTTTTTATCAAATTTAAATTGTAAAAAATTATTTTTCAAGTTTACTTTTTCATTAATATGATAAAGGATTGCAATTATCTTAATGTAATATTAATTTTTAAGTAATTTTTACAAAGATATGCCATTAATATTAATTAACATACTTAATTTATTAATTATTTTAAAAATTAGAATAAAAATTTACTGTTCTTAATCAGATTTAAAATGTGTTTATTATTTTTTAACGTATAAAAAAAATACTCTATAATATAAACGATCGAATGTAACATATATATTTGTGCTCTTGCCGGTTTATAATACTTTTATTCAAAAATAAATAAATATATTTATTTATTATATACATTACTTAAATCCGTATATATGCTTATTTGTAACTATCTTACGCAACAAACACAAATCTTTGAATCAATCGATTCAGTTCGAGTAGACAAGAACACATCCCGCCGGCATCGGCCGAACACCCCCTTCTATTGTTAAAATGGCACATTCCACTTCTCTTTCCGCCCACCGTCTAACCATGAGTTGGCTTCGACGGCAGAAGGGAACGGTCATTCACAGTAGGAAAGTCACTGCAACGATCTGTGGATTACTACAGCAGCTACTTACACAGTGCGTGTGCTATCTACAGAGAATTGACTGAGGCGTGGATCCATCTTAATTTCCCATCTATAGTACATGTCAGCCTTAAAATAATATCCAACCCATGTAATTCTTTCTTAAAAGGTAAGAAAATTTTCTATTCCAACACCATAAATGATAGAGACTCATCTGGGGTTCGAATTCCTAAAATTGTAATTTGAGATTACGTTTTTATTTTTTAAAAAACAGTTAAATCTTTATTTTAATTAAAATAGCCAAGCCCAAAAAACTAACAATTTTAACAATACATTCATCAAAATTCTTCGTGTCCAAACGTGNGGCACTTTCTATTAAATAGTTTAAAATTAAATTATTTGTAACTATCTTACGCAACAAACACAAATCTTTGAATCAATCGATTCAGTTCGAGTAGACAAGAACACATCCCGCCGGCATCGGCCGAACACCCCCTTCTATTGTTAAAATGGCACATTCCACTTCTCTTTCCGCCCACCGTCTAACCATGAGTTGGCTTCGACGGCAGAAGGGAACGGTCATTCACAGTAGGAAAGTCACTGCAACGATCTGTGGATTACTACAGCAGCTACTTACACAGTGCGTGTGCTATCTACAGAGAATTGACTGAGGCGTGGATCCATCTTAATTTCCCATCTATAGTACATGTCAGCCTTAAAATAATATCCAACCCATGTAATTCTTTCTTAAAAGGTAAGAAAATTTTCTATTCCAACACCATAAATGATAGAGACTCATCTGGGGTTCGAATTCCTAAAATTGTAATTTGAGATTCCGTTTTTATTTTTTAAAAAACAGTTAAATCTTTATTTTAATTAAAATAGCCAAGCCCAAAAAACTAACAATTTTAACAATACATTCATCAAAATTCTTCGTGTCCAAACGTGTTCGGTAGGTCGAAGTTCAAGACCTGTTTTTGGCGGTGATGCTCTTACTGGCATGTTATTTTATTTATAAAAAAAAAATATATATATTTTTAAACAAATATTTTACTAAATTACAATCCTGTTTGTTAATTAATTATTATATTACAAGTTTTCAAACGAGTCTTGTCATATTTTAATAAATTAAAATATCGGAAAGTAATTAAAAGATATGTAAGTAGCTTTTAGGGTCAAATGTGTGATGAAATTATTAGATATAATATCCAAAAGTAATTTATATCAATCGGCATGTTAAGAGCCTTGATCATTTTTCTCGAGATAAAGACATATTTTCGATCATCGTTCATATATAAAAAAGGCACTCTTATCTTTCTCTCTCATACTTTATTTCTTATAAAATGGCCACCGTCTGTTTTCCCAAGGTTGTTACCCTATAAAAGCATTCTTGCTTAAAATAATCGTGTATAGTTCCTGCTACGAAGTTTCCGATTCTTAAGAAAAAAAAATTATATAAAAAAAAAAAAAGAAAAAATTAATTCTTCCGGTCATCGAATTCCTTACACCGAACGGAATTCAGAAGAGAAATTTAATTTTTAATTACAATTAAGAATTTAATTAATATTAAAAATTACTCAATTAAAATTAAATTTGAACTTTTCTATTTTACGCCGAATTTAATTGTAAATTAAAATTTTTTCTTTTCCTATAAAATTTAATCAGTTTCCGAAATTGAAAGAAAATTAATTCTCGTTTAATTGCCATTAATTTTTAATTGAGTTTCTTGCATTGTTGAAATTGATTCTCATTTAATTTCGTTAATTCCGTTTTAAGTGTTATCAATTTCTTCTTAATTGTCATCAATTACTACTTAATTATGATCAATTACTCGTGCTTGTTTTTTTTTAAATAAATTTATTCTCTATTTTTCCGGGAAATTGAATTATTATTATTTTTTTTTCAAGGCTGATTACTTTAACTTTTTTTTTTCTATTTCTTTTTTCGTTTCGAGAAAATTTAATTTCACGAACCGATTATTTCATTAACGATTTTTTTATTATAATTATTTTTATTTTCTCTACTTTTTTTTGGGTAATTTTTAAATGTATTTATTATTTATGTACGAAATATTTAACGATGAGAATTTATGCTTATTAAATCAATGTTAGTTAATGCGTGAATTTAATTATGTATGCAAATCACGCTAAAATATTTTAGTTGAATTAGTAGACGTCGAAATTATATACATAGAGAATTTAAACTATTCTTTAATCTTATTTAGAAAATTGTTTAACTTGTAAAGGAAGATAATATTATTCATTTTTCCAATTTCTTCTTTCAAAGCTTTTTTGATTAGATGACTTTAAACAACTTTTCCCAATAGATCTATACTTCTTTCGGGTGAACTGTTGTTGCTTTTAACAGCATGGAATGATGAAATTTTTAATAATATAAACAAGGAAATTGGCATATTTATTCGCATTCCTTTGTTTTTTTTTCCTATTTTATTTTATTTTCCGGGAGAAGTGTTTCTATAACTTTTATATTTGCACTGAGTTTTCTATTTTGTATTCATAGCACGAAAGAAGCTGTTACTTCTCCCAACTGAACTGTTAAGAGAATTTGTCTTTCTTCAGTAACTCTGTTGATCTCTTTTATTCCATCGGTGTATAACCATGTCATTAACTACAGTTTTGTTCAGTTTCGACTTTCATCTTACTCCTTCTCGCTGTTTTCATTTTACATTCAAACAATGCTTACAAACATTGAAAAAAATATATATATATATATATATATATTTTATTCTTTTCATTACATGCCGGATGCTTACTAAATCAAATGTTTTTTCTGCAGTTTCCCACGTTGTTTACACAAAAGTAAAACCTAACAAACCGTAACGATATTCAAAAATTTTCCAAAACCAAACAGATTAAATTAGTTCACACAACCGCCCTCAACACAATGTATTAAGATTCAATCTGGTCAAATTGTTAAACTGAATCGTAACAAACCTAATTACTAAATTAACGCTTTGGCACTTTCTATTAAATAGTTTAAAATTAAATTATTTGATTATTTATTTATTCATATAATATTTTTGAAATTTTCTCCTATTTCCACTTTATTGTCTCTGTTAAAAATTGACCTTCCCTCCCTCCCTCATTTTTAAATTTTTGGAATTAAACGTCGAGAAATGTAAAAAGAAATTCGGGTTTTTTTCCCCTATATGTATGGATATTTAGGGTGTGTGTGGAGGGGTGCACGATTTTCTTCACCCAATTTAAAGCTTAATAACTCCTGTGTTTCTCGACGAAAATTTCTGAAATTTTGCATGGAGTTTTGTGTTTTAGGGTGATTGATGCTACTAAATTTTGGTTGTTAAATGTCGACGGGGTGGAGAGATAAAGGGGGTCGTGCGTCGTATCTCGCGTAGGGTCGGATTTAATGACGATTGCTTTACCCTCAAAATTAAGCTTGCAGTTTTAAACGCTGCCGGGAAACTTAAGCAACTCGTTGCTGGATATTTTTTTTCTTACTTATAAGCTATAGAAAAATAAAACAGTAGAGGAAACTCCATGTAAAAAATACCGCAGTGTAATTGTTTGATTAGTTTCCAGACAACCAATTACAAATCTAACAATGACAAAAATTCTTCTTCATAAGAAAGATCAGAACAAATTAAACATCCGTTCAATAACGAAACCCTGCTACAAGTTTTATTTTATTTTATTTTATTTTTTTGTGTTTCAGGTTTCATTTTTTTTTAATTAAGTTTGTTCAACCGAAAGTAAGCCGAAGAGGAGTAAATCTTACGTGTTAATTCTACTAATTTATGTTAGTACTTAGATAAAATGGGAAAGAATTTTTAATGTTTTGATATATATTTTTAGTCTCTGGACATTTTCCAATTCTTTAAAAATCCTTGGAATGAAAATTTGAAATGATTAGACAACGAACTTTGCATGTCACGACTCATCAATATTATCATGAAGATGGTTTTTGTGGTGGTTTCTCAAGACAACTTATACTTTTCTTCATTTGTCAATGATAAAGTTATCTCATTATTTATGATTTAGTGAGAATTAATTATATAATTTAATCAAAAATTACTTTTAATGTGTCATATTGATAAGATTTATCATCCTGAGATCCTATTACGTTTCCAACTAAAATAATTTTTATATATTTTACTTTTTATATATATATATATATATTTATACTTAACCATTAATTTTAAAACTTTTAATGCTACGTTAGTTCTAACTAATTTAAATTTTAATATATTCTAGTTAATGATACGACTTGATTTTTAAGACGTTTTTGACTAGAAATTATAAGTTTTTTAAATATAAATTATTATATTTTATGTTTAAAAAGACTGTATTTACGATTCTAAATTTAAATCTGTCTTGATTTAATCTAAGTAACTTGAAACTTATGAGAGAAGTTAAAAGTGACTCATTCTATGAGACGTTTCTCATAACCTTTACGATATAATTAAGAAGGAAAATTATTATTAACAGGGCTAATTTATAATTATATTTTTACATATTTTATCACGATAATAAACAATTGTATTAATTTAAAAGTTAGGTCGTAAACGATGCTTTAGTACGTTAAGAAAGAAATATGAATTAAACATTATAATAAATAGAATAATTAAATATATTTAACATCTCTACGACATAAAAATAAATTTCTTTTAAAGTAATTTATCCGAAAATCATTAATTTCTGTTTATTATGTTTGATAAAACGTTGTATGAAAGCTCTTGAAAATTCCATTTGACTTCATTAACGATTCTTTTGATCTGATTCAATAATAAAATTACTAAATAGGATTTTACTTAATTTTACTTAAGTAAATGCTATTTTAAAGAATTGAGTGTCGTGAAATTTATGTTGATGTTATAAAAATCCCTTCTTAATGCGCCTGACAAAGGGAATCTTTAAAGTCTTTAATCCGTTTTACTTTCCTACTTGTTAATCATATTTAAGAAGCTATAACTAATCGTAAAAGCTTGTTTACGATGACTTTGCTGTTCTGTTCACGTTCCAGTTTTATATACTGTAAAAACTTCACATTGTTTAGTAAAGAAACACGTTATTTTCATTAAAGTTATGTCGTATACAACGAGCGTGATGAAACCACCGAAATTCGTGTTTAAATCTCGTACAATAAGCTCATTTTCTCACATTTATTACAAAGTACAGTAGCTAGACACATACCTAGTTGTTTAGGTATGTGTATTATTGTGTAGCCATTGTGAAATATTCAGAAACGTGATCTAGATTATCCGTGATTTAAACCCAACCTTGACAGGATTTAAGCTTTTTTTGACGTGGTAAACAGTGGTTAAGAATGGTAGAAGCACGCATGAGAAAGGGACTAAAGTAGTCTAGATACTAAGAGGTAGGAACGAAGGCTAGAATTAGTTTGAATCTAGGCACCTAATTATAGTCTTTATACATTCCCTTCGCATTTTTAACTACCGTTTACTACACGAATTGCTATGAAAATGATTAAGGATGATGGAATTCACGATTCTGAAAACATTCTTTACACTTTATAAAACGTTCTCAATCGTGATTTAAGACGGGTTCAAGTGTATGAATATTAACAGATTATGTATATTATATATTATAGTATTAATAGCATTTTAACTGCATAAAATTCAATTTAAACTTAGAATTTTAACTATAAATTAGTAATAGGCTTTATTTGGATTTTCGCTTAGATTAATTTTACTAGACTAATTTTCAATGCTCCAACGAATTCTAAAATACTAAGTTTATCTATAAATATATTTGTAGACGTATAAAATGACTCATAGATAACTGAAACAGAACAAATAATTTCAAAGTACAGAAATCAATTGTTATTTACAACACAACAAAAACTAGACAAGTAGGAGGGAGGGAAAAAAAGAGAGGAAAAACATCAACGGAAATTAAGAGAGTATTTTGTATTGCAAGAAAGCCAACTTTTTCCTAAATCTTGTTTTCTCCTATCAAGATCAATCTACCCTATATATATAATATATATACAAAATAAGAATAACTTTTTAAATCGAAATTTCGCATCACAATTTAAAGAATAAAATCCTTTAAAAAATCACCGGATAACTCTTTAATAATTGCTTATTTTTAAGGTTTATTCGTTAATATAATATCGTAAAGATATTAAGTAAAACTTTACCAGATGGTCTTTCAACTGGCATAAATCCAACAGTTAACACATGTGATATTTTTATATATTTATTTAAATTATTCGTTTAATTTAGAATATAAATAAGTAAAAAGTAATGGTTTCAATTTGATGTATCAATGTTCAATAGGAAAAAAAAATATATATCGTAAAATTTACTTCAGTTATGCGGAAGTAATTTTTCTTGTCAACCGTATCCATCACCTGTTTAAGAAGATAATGTAGTCGATTTTGCCAAATGCTTTTTGAAAGTTGTTGCTAAGGATGCGGATGAATGATATTCAATCTGGAAAAAAAGAAAAATCCAGAGTAAAATTTTTATTTTCCAAAACTGAGTTATGATCTTGGAGGGGGAAAAAAAAGAAAAGTTGTGAAGGAGTAGGAATGGAATTTTTAAAACATTTTAATACTATTTATTCTTATATAAACCGCATCAGAAATCCGTAAAATTTCCCTTTTTATATACAAAAATATGCACATTTCTCTTAATACTTTCGTCGGGAAAAAAGAGAGAGAGAGGGAGAGAGAGATAGACCTGTTAAAACAATTTTTTTTTCATATAATAATTTACTTAAACGGACGTAAAAGATTTTTATCTAAAATTTTAAAATTTAAATATAATTCTTTCCTTTTTTTTGGGGGGGGACATAATTTAATTATGTCCGTTTTAATCTCTTAACATGGAAATTATATGGCTCATAACTGTAACATAATGATTATTTGATCGTTATTTTTCATCTGATATATATATATATATATATGTAATTANTTCTCATCATAAACACGTTAAGGTACGTGACAGGTAGATAATTTTACGAATACACAACAAACTTTTGCTTTATTTATTTATTTTTTTTAATGTTTCGGGTATATTTCTGACCTTTAACACGTTAGATTAAACAAGTTTTAATAGGATTTTACGCCGAAAAAAAATTAATTTTTTCTAAGTTTAATGATTAAATTCCATTAAAAAAACGAACTGTACTCTCTTTTAGTATACAATATAAAAAAAATTACTTGTAAATTCCTTTTATAAGCTATTAACAAGATAGGAATTTGCATATTTGTTAATAGTCGTTATAATTTTATTAATGTGAATTAGAAAAAAAAAGGAAAACAGCAAATTACTTTTACACTTTTATACAAGTTTTTTTTTTTCTTTTTTAATGTTTTCTTTTCCTTTTAAGGAGATTAAAAGGGCGAATTTTATTTCGGAAACATCGTTTTAAAACGTGTTTTTCATTCGATAAATTAACGCAATGATCATTTCCTATGAATTAAAACATACAATAAAAATTTTAATTATAGATTTAATTTAATTTACAAAGAGAATTTATAGAAAATACCTACAAAATAACCTCCCAATTGCGGCCAATTTTTACGTTCCACTCATTGGTCTTCGTTTATAAATTTGAATTTAAATGGAATAAAGATTTTTTAACGTTAATTAACTTAGTAACTTCTAATATATATATATAAATAATGTTGGGTTATATATTATTCCAGACGCCAATTCATAATATATTTATTTTTGGAGAAATCTATCGAACAGACATCCAGACGTTTCTTATTTTTTTCTTTTATATCTTTGTTTTTTTAATCATCAAAAATGAAGGAAAACATATCGAGTATTTTACAGGAAGTTCTCTTAAATCTCTACTGAATTGAAAAAGATCAAAACTTTTAAAGATAAAACTTTCAAAGAAAAATATATACAGTATATGTATACCCCCCTTCTCTCTCTCTCTCTAAATATATATATATATATATACAGTATAAAGAAATAAATATAGTAGTATAGAAAAGTTTCAAACCGATATTCGATCTTTTATTTTCAACCAAATTTCCTTTATCAGTGAGAAAAAAGACCTAACTTTCTACAACTCCTCCTCTTCAGTATTTCAACCGGAACATCACGGAAGAAGAAACAGGACATTCATGACGTCATCGCACGAAAGTAACCTGAAAACGTGCGTTTCATAAAATACAGAATCGCCTGAACGGTACTCTTATATATTTATATATATATATATATTTTCCTTTACGTTTATTTTCTATATTCTCATCTACCTCGTACGTTATTGTTGTTGAAAATTGATGAAATCTGAGTATTCACTAGAGGAAATTGACGTTTCATATGTATTTTGCATTAGTCACGTAACTGTTATTGCTGTTTTCAATGTCAAATATATCATAAAATGGATTGGTTCAGGTGTTGTTTGATAATTTTAGTGCTGTGCTGTGTTTCGATTCACTTATTACTTTTTTTTTTTTTTTTTAATTATTTATATACTTAACCTAAATTAAATTAAATTTATAATGTTTTTCCTCTCTTAAATGATTGGTATGAAAAAAAAAATAACAGGTAATTACGTTTACAGGGGCGTTGTAAACTCCTTATCAATCAGGTTTTTTTTTTCTTTCTTCCTCCCTACTCTTCTATATAAAAGTTGCAACATAACCTGGCGATAATTGTAGCCCATTCGAGTTAAAATTGTAGCATTTAATGATCGTTTCATCACAACTGGACAGTTTAGCTTACGTCGTGATAAGATTTTGTTGCAGCAATCATTAAAGATGTCTGCTCAGTAACTACACGAGATAACATAGTCCAAAGTCATTAGCTGTTAAATATCCTTTCCCCCTTTTTTTTTCTAGATTAAGTGAAGCAACAGTTCATTCAGAAAGGATAGCAGATTTTCCAGCATCTTTTTTTTTGTCTTCTCCTCCTCCTCCTCTCTCACTTTCATATGGGAAGTATTAAAGTACTGAATGAACTTTTAATGTAAATTCACAATTCTTAATTTAAAATTCGAGTAAATTTATATAATAAAAGAAGGTAAACTAGAATTTTTATTCGTGTTTTAAAGGTTACATCTTCTTCTACTATATCCCTTCACACATATAACACAGGGTGTTTTTCCTTATACAATTTCGAATATTAGAATGTGTTTATATGGAAGGGGTATAGAATTACATTAAGTAATCGTGTCATACGTAATAATTTAACATAAAAAAAGAGCATATTTTTATATTTATATCGAGTATAAATGTAACTGAATCTGGTTTCCGTTTATGGTAACATCCTGCCACGTAGAAAATGGAATTTCTCTCCAGCAGAAGACCCAGGGACCGTCTCTTAGATCTAAAAGAAGGGATGAGTTTTGTGACGTAGATAAACTATATTTAGAAGTGTTTTCAAACGTAGTGTATACAAATTTATTATGCTAGAGTATACTTAATTACGTTCATGACAAAGTTAATTATTAATATAATAAATTGTATACGTATATAAACAATTATTCCCTACAGAAAATAATAACAAACAAGTAAAATTTATTTATTTATTTTTATTATTGTTTATACTTAAACATTTATTAATTTTTTTATATATATATTCAGAACATAAAGAATATTTAATAAATATTAAATTATTTATGAGAAAAATATGAAATATTTTAAAATTAAAAGAACACAAGAAAATTTAATTAATTAAATTATAATATTTTTAAAAATATTAAAAAGTAAATGGAAACTTTTCTTGTTTCACTTGTCAACAGCTGTTTTTCCCCTCAAGAGTTGTTCCTGTCTTTTCGATAAAATGGTCTGGTACAATGATTATCATTGTCTAAAACTAGGGAAAAAAAATAATAAAAAAAAAGAGGAGGTAAAAAAAAAAAATGTCAATGTTTAACGTTTTCTACAGCTCATTCCAGTATTGATGCTATCAGTACAACACAATAAAAACTTAAAAATTGTTCTCTCGTTTTATTACTTTCTTTTTATATCGATTAAATGATTCCATTCCTATCACAATAATAAGATAATATGGATTTAGAGTTGTTAAAGATAAGAGGTTTAGTAGAATTAACTCATCTTAACACATATCTATTCGTTCTACATACTTCTACAGTATCTAAGATAATAGGTTTTTAGATATTTATGCAAAGTTAAATAAGTTTTGGAAGTAAGAAAATCAGCATTTATGTTGTACTAAAGAGGAGAAGAAGATGGAGGAAGGAAAAAAAAAATCATTTTTCGCTCGAGTGAATTTACAATATTCTTGAAATTACAGTTGTGATATCACAGAGAATTTTACAATTTTTATAGCATATATGAACCTGTTAAATTACCTTTTTATATAAATAAATAATAAAAAAAAGGTGTGTATGTGTACAGGAATCAAAACTTGTATTTTTCGAAATTATGATAATGGTTTCTCTTAATTTTTTTTTTTACTTTTTACGTTAAAAATATTGCAAGAAACTATTAAAGTAATGGATATTATTTAAGAAAAAAAAACCAGCCATTTTTGAGTGATAAAAAGGACAAAAATCTCTGAAAACTTTGAAATTTTATACAGATTTTAAATTGTAGAATTTCTTTTTTAATTCCCTGTTTAAAAAAAAAAAATTACTTAGATTTTAACCTATCGTAACGTTACGTCGAAAATTCTTCTCGAGATATAACGTCACTGAAACATTATTTTTATCTAATATTACATAGAATATATATATATATATATTGACAAACTTCTTAACAAAAGAAAATGTATACTTTGGACCAGGATACAAAGTATCAGGAGAAAATAAATGGCTGAAGGTCATTTGTACTATATTTTTTACCATTGTAACAACTAAAAAAGGAAACAATCATATAGTATCAAATTATACTTAAGAGTTATTTTTGTTTTGTATAGAAGAAAGATAAAAAAAAAATTTATATATATAGCCAATAGGTATGCATTTTCTAAGATCTATAAGAGATTAAAAAAGAAAATAGTCTCGAGTTTGTTACTTTTAGCAAAGAAAAAAAAATCAGTTTAAAAAAGGAAATTGTTGCTATATCTTGGAAAAACAGATTCAAATCTATTTTTTTATCGAGTAATTTTAAGTTTTAAGAACTTAAAAATCGTCTAAAATGTTATATTTTTAGTCATTTTATATAGTCTTGGTTATTAACAAATTACACATTTACTTGACTAAAAACATACCCTAAAGGAAAATTTTATATTTAAGAAATTCTCTTCGTATAAAAAGCTTATTTGCAACTTCACATTTTTCTTTCATTCCCCCCCTTTTTTTTCTTTTTTCTTTAGTTACTACCTTTCAATATGGAAAATTTTTATTTCGTCACCTGCAAAAGACTGGATAGTGCCTTCAATATCACAAGCAGTAAACGGTCTTTTGCAGGTGACGAAATAAAAGTTTCTTTTCACTACCTTCAGTTGAATAATGAAGTAATTTTCTCGCCTTGGCAGGAGTCGTTTGTATCGAAAGGTAAAGCAGCCAATACGTTTAGAAGCGATTAATTACAAATAGACTTTGATGGAAAAGTTTTGCAAGAAGTAAACTTCGATTTTCTTAGCTTAAATTCTAATTATTTAATAAACAAAAATCGTTAGAAATAACCGTTAGATTTAAATTTTCAAATTCGAATTTAACGGTTACTTTTATTATCGTTGTAACTTACAAGTAAACTCTATTGTTGTCACGTCTATCAAATTTAAACAACTTTTTATTGGTTAAATCTCTGTTTATTAATTAAAAGACGTGAATAAGTAGCTAGTTACATTTTAAACAGGTAAAATAATTCGTTATTTAAAACGTAAATTTGTACTTTTAATCAAATTTTATTTTGCATTAGTGGTAAGTAAATTTTATATAAGGTGTAACAATGTAAAACAGTACATAATGGGTATTGTATTTGGAAGAATTCATACCTCTATACTTAATTAGACTTTGAAAGGGTGTAGAAAATCATTGAGATTTTAAATAAGGTTGCTTTTATATAATAGTAATCATGTATAAAATGAACATGGCATCATTACACTTGTATAACATCGTTCAATTTGTTATAACGAATTGTTTTAATTAATTTTCACTACTTAGTAACTTAGTTATTTGTGTAATTAAATTAAAACTACTGCGAAATTTTAATGATTAAAAAAATTATTATATACTGGTATATAAATATTACATTATATAAGTACTTAACAAAGTATAGAATAAATTTAGTTTTCCGGTTTATTCAACCAACTTACTCTCTTAATTTACTAACTGTGTTTAACAGTTAATTGCATTAATTGTTTAATAATTAGTTATACTTAAGTTTTCCATGTTTTACAAGATAAATAAATAAAAGCAATTCTAAAATTAGTGGTTGACTACTAATTAATGATACGGTTTTTAAATAGTGTATGAAGTAACAGCTTTTTATCGCATGGTCGATGTTGTATTCATTTTGTTATAACTGTGTACATGTATTCTTCCATTTTTATGAAGGTTTTATTTGGTTATTTTATTAGTTTAAACAGCAGTAAAATTATTTGTAAGTTTAAATATATGCTTAATTCCACTCTTGTTTTGTAATAATTGAATATTTACTTTTCTAATCGTGATTTATATTATTTCAACTAAGTAATTTTATCATCCTAGATCATCTTTCTGTTTAAATATTTGTACAGTCGAACCTCATATAACGGCCATTTTTATTTTCCTATCTCTCTGTCCGTGTTCACAGGTTTTATTTTGCTTTACAACGGCCATTTTTTTATGGTCGTTGTTTACAGGTTTGTGAAGTGATTTTTGCAATGGTGAGAAGAATTCTGGTTATTAAAATCGAATTATAGATTAAATGAATGTGATTCACTTCAATTTATTTATTTATAAAGCTTAAATCTATATAAAAACAGTTTTTCTTGAATTCTGTTTAAAATATCAAAAAATAATTGTGGTTACTTTTGCAATAGTTTTGAATGGAATGACTGCAACTGTTGCAATTATTTCGCTTCGTTGTGTAAAGTGAATAATTTTATTTACTGTAGATGACACTTAATTTAATAAAATTATGTGTATAAATTACTTTTCTTCACGTTTATTTAAGATTTTTCAATTTATATCAACAAGGAAATCGAAGTAGACACCGTATTTAGGGATGGATTTAAACGATAGCTTAGGGTCTGACTCTGCTATGATTTAGTTTAAGGTTTAACGCATTGAAATTTATTACTTTTTGCTGGAGGGAAGGACCTTTAGGGCTACAGGAAGTCCAAATTCGACCTCGACAATCGAAGATTCATCTGGTTTATGTACAATAAATGTAAGAAATAGCTGGCAGCATGTTTCCAAAATGGCGTACGGAAGTAAATTTTTGCAATTTGCTGTAATATATTAGCAGATAAGACTTGAAGGAGTTTATAAACATTTTATATGCATACATTCTTCCATAAAAAAAACATAATACAGTAATACAAATTTTATTTCATTGGGGTTCTGCTCAATGTATTCCCCCCATATTAGAGAGTTTATCAACGTATTTCATGTAAAAACTGCTTATTTTAATTATGCTATTTATGCAAATATGCTAAAAATTCTTCTGTAATCATTTTTAGGGAGTTTACAGCTACATACTTTATGTAAATAAATGTATGTTTATGCTTTACACTATATGTCACATTACTGTTTCTCATTACTTTCAAAAGATCCTGATGAAAAAAAAAATTTTTTTTACATTGTACTGTACTTAAGCTTATAATTAAATAACATAAATCAAGTACAAGAAAAAAATTTATTCTAATACTTCTAATGAAAAAAAAAATCCCTTTCATAAAAATGACATTTTACGGAATTTACACATTTAAAATTCTTGTTTATACCTTAGTTATTTTACATTGTTCCATTGTTAACAACACTCGAAAGTCATAAAACATTTATTTCTATTATGAGAGAAAATATTTTTAGGAACCATAATTAACACCAATTGAATGGAAACTGTTGAATGGTTTATTGTTATTTATTAAATT